CCCGCTGGGACAGGATCCTTGGCAGCGTGCTCTGGGTGACCCTGCTTGGGCAGGGGGGTTGGACTGGGTGACCCACAGAGGTCCCTTCCAGCCCCTACTATTCTGTGATTCAGGAAAAGTGCAATATTCAGCATACTGACGTGAAAAATTACTCTTTTTTTTTGTTTGTTTTCAGGAAAACTGTCGTCTGCCCAATCATTGACGTGATCAGCGACGACACGTTTGAATACATGGCTGGGTCGGACATGACTTACGGAGGGTTTAACTGGAAACTGAACTTCCGCTGGTACCCGGTTCCTCAGAGAGAGATGGACAGGAGGAAAGGGGACAGGACCTTGCCCGTGAGGTAAGGAGGGCGAGCGCGGCGCGCTGGGCTGTCTGCCTCTGCTTGGTGTAGATGATGGTGCCTAACACCGACGGTGCTGCCGCAGGGTCAGGGAGCGCCTGTCGGGTAGTCGGGGCACGCTGCTCAGGGTAGAGAAGGCCAAAATCTGACCCAGCCTCCGTGCTGCAGTCTGGTTATCAGAGCTGAGAACACTCATTTGTGTCTGCTTTCCCACATTCAGCAGTTCAAAGGGTTGTCTGCCTTCTGAAGTCCCCTCTGGTTGTCTTCTGCAGAGAGCCTGTTGACCTACTGTTTGCAGGTGTTACTGTTTCTTTCATAATTTAAGGCAAAGATTAGAACGTGTTTCTGAAATACACATTTTTGAACATTGAACCCAAGTCTTTGCTTTGCACTTAAAATGCATACTTCTATTGCCTAGAAAATAAAATTGATGACTCTGCACGCTGAGTTGAAAATGATTGAAGAATATGTCCTGAATTCCCGTGAGCGTGCCTGACCTCTTGCGTTTAATTGCTCAAACCACAGACTGTAACAAAACCTCTAGAAAAAAAATTTGAAATGAAGCTGATAGGGAACAAATTGAATAAGTGACTTGCGATGGGTTATTTGCTCAGCTCTAATAGCTGCTGCGGTCTTCACGAAAAGTTTTAAAAAAATTAAAAAAGGAATAAAAGAAAGCGTTCAGAAGTGGATGTAATGGTTTCCAACCTGTCTGCGAGCCATGATGAAGTGGACAGAATTGCAGTCCTGCGTGGCCCCGGTTGTGGGCAGCGGGTGGGCCCAGGGAGAGCCCGCTCAGGGCACAGCAGTCACGGCTCAGCTTTGCGAAACGCCTCCAGGTAAGGCAGGGGGTGGGCGAAGAGAGGCCTGCCGAAACGACCCGTGCTGGAAAATGGCTCTGTCAGTGTTTGTCCTTGGGAGCCTGGCGTCAGGGAGGGGCTGGGGTGTTAGGTTTTCTTCCAAGGAAATGATCTCGGGAAAAGCAAGTGGGGTCGCCAGGAGCGGACCCTGCTGGTAGCAAAGCTGTCCTGGAGTCCAGAGAACTGGTTTTCTCGTGATCTAAAATGGGATCCCTCGGCTGTGAGGTCTGCCAGCCGCTGTTCCGTTGAAGCTGAGGTGTGCGTTACAGTTGGTGGTTACCCTGAGGAGCTGCAGAGCCGCACGCCGTGTCACTCGCTGCGCTCTGTCCTGTCCCTCCCGTGCCAAATCAGTTCCCAGACACGGGGAGGTTTCAAAGAAATGCAAATCCCAGTTCTTATTTCCTTATCTTGAAATGGAGTAGTACTTAAAGGTAATCCAGAATCAGACATGGAATTGACTCTTAAATTTATTAAAACAGAAAAACAGCTTTTCTCTTCTCTCTCTCCTCTCTTCTCCTCTCTTCTTCCTCTCTTCTTTCTCTTCTTCCTCTCCCCTCTTCCTCTCCCCTCTTCCTCTCCCCTCTTCCTCTCCCCTCTTCCTCTCTCCTCTTCCTCTCTCCTCTTCCCCTCTCCTCT